TACACAGTTGTATGCGACATACATGTGTTTATTTTAGTAATATTGGTACATATTGTTAAACTTAAATAAACTAATAACAAACTACCTAATGATGGAGCTAGCCTTAAATTAAATAGAATGCATCTGAATATGCAATGCCTATCGAATAAAATACCCCAGCTTGAGTGCATTCTGAAGCAGGAAGAGCCCCACATCCTATTTATAACAGAACACTGGTTAGAACAAGATCAGATTGTTGCAACTGGTATTCCAGGATACTCCCTCAGTCATTTCTTCAGTCGCTCTATCTCTTCTAATGGAGGTGTTGCAATATACAGGGTTTGTCCGGAAAGCAATAGGACTCATTTTCTTCCGCCATGACTGTACTGCGGAGCGTGCGCGCACCGACTGGATTCGATAGAGGGCGTTCCTAGCTAACGAATGAGCGGCTGGTCAGTTGTCTCCGAGCACTTGGAGAGTGAGAACAGGCATTTTCGCGCGACGTGTTTCTGTGAGTGGTGCAAGCCGAAAGTGCAGCGTTCGTTAGAGCAGAGGTACGCGATTAAATTCTGTGTGAAACTCGGTAAATCTGCGACAGAGGCGTTTGATTTGATCAAGCAGGCTTACCCAGGTGTTGCTTTAGCAAGAAGTGGTGGGTTTCGGTGGCACCAGGCCTTTTTGGAGGGCCGGGAAGAGGTCGCTGATGAAGACCGTGCTGGAAGACCTTCGACTTCGACAAACACCGATAATGTGACTCGTGTGCGCAAAGTTTTGAACTCAGACCATCGACTAAGTATTCGTTTAATTGCCCAGATGTTAAATTTACCAAAATCTGTGGTTCATAACATTGTGACACAGCATTTGAACATGCCCAATATGTGCACGAAGATGGTCCCAAAAGTGCTCACTGACGACCAGGTAAACTGCGGCGATTGGAAGTCTGCCAAGAAAATTTGAACATGTGTGAAAGTGACCCCCATTATTTGAATAACGTAATCACAGGTGACGAGTCGTGGATCTTTGAGTATGGTCCCGAGACAAAGAGGCAAATTTCCGAGTGGCACACGACGGCGTCTCCTCGCCCAAAAAAGGGAAGAATGAGCAAATCCAAAGTGAAAACGATGCTCATTGTCTTTTTTGACATCAAAGGCATCGTCCACCATGAATGTGTTCCTCCTGGACAAACCGTCAACGCCAAGTTTTACGTGGAAGTGCTCAGGAGACTCAAACGAAGGGTCAGTCGGGTCCGACAAGACATCGCAGCCGACTGGAAGTTGCACCACGACAACGCCCTGGCTCAAACCGTCTTTCTTGTGAACAGCTACATGACCAAGGCCGGCATCCCAACGCTTCCGCAGCCGCCCTACAGCCCAGATGTGCGCCCGGACTTTTTTTTGATTCCTCGCCTGAAAAGATCGATGAAAGGCAAGCATTTTGAGACGACAGAGGGGATCCAAGCAGCATGCACCGCGGCTCTCAAGGCTATTCCGGAGAATGCCTTCCGTGACGCCTTCAATGCTTGGAAATCGCGATGGCAGCGCTGCATCGACGCAGAAGGAGCCTATTTTGAAAGCTTTTAAAGACTTGTAACGATTGGCTCAATAAATTTTTTTAAATCGACCTAGTCCTATTACTTTCCGGACAAACCCTGTATACAAAGTATGGACTGAGTGCTTCAGCATTATCATTTATGAACCAACTAACCATTGAGCAAGTTTGTGAATGCGCGTGTGTTATAACTGAATTAGTTAGCAAAGTCGCGTTCTTAGTGTCTTATAGATCGCCAAGTAAAGGATTTTCTGGATTGTTTGAATGCCTTGTGTTCTACTTTTCTAAAATATCAAATCGTTGTAGCCAGTGGCGACTTCAGTATAGTTTGGTCCTTGGATAGTTCTATCAAACCATATCTTTCAGATGTACTTGATAATTTTGAGCTTGGGTCGGTTTTGCCGAGGGAAACCACAAGACAATTCCAAGGTGCAAGTTCAGCAAGAGATTATGTCTTGACAAACATTTCAAATTGTGAAGGACTTAATTCCGAATACTGCATATCAGATCATAAAGCCCAAATTTTTACCTTAAGCATTCCTTCCCCATCTTTCAAACTTTTACTTTCCACCACAGATCTTTCAGCGCTATATCATATGTATGATCGTATGATGCAAATGAGGCTTGGCAATGTTTTACAGATAATTTCCAGCATTGCTTGCCCGTTAACAAAATTTAGAATAAACACATAATACAAATGACTGGGTAGACTGGGATATTGTGGAGGAAAGTAAGAAGCTGAAGAACTTGCATTGGTTCTGCCAAAATTGACTCCAAAAAAAGCTTATAAATTAGCTAAACAACAATACAACGACAAATTAAAACTGAAGAAACAACACTTTTATAACAACAAAATAGTATTTTCTAGCAACTCGACAAAAGACATTTGGAGAATAGTAAATGTACAAACAGTCAACAGTGGTAGTTCAGACCAAAGAGAAATAGCTTATCATTTCTCTGACTATTTCTCATCTGCTGCAGATAATTTAATCATATCGAAATATGGTGGTAATGATTTCTAAAATTCTAGTATCCATAAGTCAGATAAAAATATTAGATCCATGGCTGTACATGCGATTTCTCCTGATGAGGTTCATAGAGCTATTCAAGAACTGAAAAACAAATCTACCGCTGGAATTGATGGGTTCCCACCTAAAACACTCAAGTTCTTGGCTACATATCTTATTCATCCATTGTCATACCTGTTTAATTTATCTCTAATCAATGTATTTTTTCCTAAAGACCTCAAATTATCTGTAGTTCTACTGATTCATAAGAATGGTGACACCGAAGCTTTCAAAAATTACTGTCCTATCACCTTGCCATCTAAGCTCTTCATCATCTATAATCGTATTCATAATTTTGCGAATGCCTACAATATATTAACTAGTAAGCAACATGGATTTAGACCAGGTTTCTCCACCAATTCAGCTGCGTTCTCTCTTTTCTCCTTTATATATAGTCAACTAAATAGAAATAAATGTACACTAACAATATATTTTGACCTGAGTAATTCATTTGATTGCGTACAAACAACAATTTTATTAAGAAAATTAGAAGAGTATGGATAGGTATCCCATAAATGACTGGGTTCAGATCGCAAAATTTATGTTAAAATTGGCAATGTTACATCTCATTGCAAAAATATCAATATTGGTGTCCCTCAAGGTGGAGTGTTATCACCATTTTTATTTCTTTTATTCATCTTTGACTTGGATGAACAAATGAAATATATCAACGTTGATGATACTCTCCTTGAGTTGAAGGCCAACTCAATATTAGAAAAGTTTTAGTCTTGGATAACAAAAATAAGATAATAGTTAATGAAAGCAAAACCAAATATATGTTCTATTATAAACGAAAACTACCAACTATTATCACGTTGAAGTTAAATAATTCAGTTCTTGACAGGGTTGAACAAACAAAGTTTTTAGGGGTAATAGTGGATGAGAGACTCAGCTTTAGAGATCATCTAGATTATGTCTCAAGAAAACTAAGATCCGCTTATTTTGCGTTGCGTAACTTGAAAAACATAATGTGTACCAAGGATTTACTAAATGTCTATTTTGCAACCGTATATCCTCATTTGAAGTACCTTGTTCTCTGCTGGGGTTGCTGTGTGGGTGCTCAGCGCGCATTCATATTTCAAAAGAGGATTATACAGTTAATATTTTACTTACTTCTACTCATCTCATGCATTAGAAGAAAGTTGCATAGATTTTATAGCAGAAACTATCACGTCTTTATTTCTAAAGTTGGCATATAATGAATCTGCTAAAAACGCTTGTTTTATCATAGCTCCGTCTTCATAAGGTTTCTTCTTTTGTGTAATTATCTGGGACACTCGGTATGATGCTTCAGTTGCAGCCTTACTTTTATCGACTGTTTTTAAAAACATGGTCTGTTGTCCAGTTAACTGATCTTTTAATTGTTTCAGTTTTTTCTTTCTGGTTGCAGCACGTAATGGGAATGATTTTTCAAAATTCCAATGTACAGTTTTATAGTGCCTCTCAATATTCCCTTTTTTAGCAACGGAAACAGATTTATTAAGGTACCTAGGTCGAATATGGCCACCTTAAGGTTTCTTAACTTTTTTCTAAAATAATAAAGATAAAAGAAACAAGTCAAAGTAGTTGTCCATGAAGACTGAATATTTAACTTTATGATGAAGGCAGAAAAATACAAAGATATTAAATGATAGAAATATTTTCAACAGTTTGAAAAAAAATTGAAATTTGGCCATATTTCCGACGGGGTAGGTAAATATGCCCATATATGTGGCTATATTTACGGTATATATTATTTTAAATAACTTCTAAATAAGTGAAATAAAAATGGACATTAGATTTTAATACAACTTTATTTAAAAGATATTGTTTAGGCGACATCCAGTACATTATCATCGTCGTGGTTAGTCCAGACTGCACCGAGTGCATACAAATTTATCTGTATCTTCTTTTGTTAATCCAACACAGTCCTCATGGACATATGTTTCACATAAAAAGCATATTCTCATGTCTGCTATTCTGTCCTCATTGCAAACATAACAGTACCATGAATCTTTAGATTTTTCAGATTGTCCTTTACCACGTGACTGTTTAGAAACCTTCTTCGGAGTTACTGCTTCACTGTTGTTCCTTTTAGCAGAATATTTTCTTTTTTGGTAAGCCACTTTAAATGGGCCTGGTATATTTTCTATTTTTTGTTTAGGAGCATTTGATGGCCCTGACATGTTATTTTTATCTGTAAACATTGATTTTGTTAGCGCCTGTGCGAGACTATTGATAGCTTTTGCCCTCGGAGCAGTTTTTGGGCTTGACGTTTTCTCTGGAGTTTTTAACATTTGACACAAAGATGTATATGACTCATTAAGTGTTGTGGAGCAGACTACATTTAATTCAGTTTTTGACTCGATATTATTGTTATGTTGCTTTAGTTTGGACAAAGGAATGTGATCGCTACTGTCGTAATCGTCATAAACACTTGGCAGGGGTTCTATAAAGTTCGATATATGTATCTTCTTGATTTGGGTGCTGTGGATGATCATCAGAGGCGTTGTCTGGAGTTGCAGCACAACGCTTTGCTTGGCTTGGCTGTAAATCTGAGGAATCATTTGATGGATTTGAATTACCTTTGTCTTCATTTGGGGGAGGATAAGGAGAATTTCCACTGGCATCAGTAACGTCGCTTTCATTAGTATCTTCATTTTCCTGAGGAGGAATTAACAGATTTGTAGCGTCGCTGTCGTTAGTATCTCCATTTTCTTGATTTTCAGAAGGAGAAGCTCCAGGTTCTGCGAAATTATGAGTAGGTATGCTGGGAGCGTATTCTTCTTCTGGAATCCTATCTGGATTGAATGGGAAAATTCCGGTCGCTTCAAATCCAGCTTTGACATTAGCAGGTGTCGCAGCTTTATCCCACACTTTGGAAAATAATATCCCAAACCTTTGTTTGGTTATTTTCCTGTCCTCGTGAATAGACCAGTATTTTAAAACTTCTTCATCCCAGTAATATTCAAAAGAACGAAATACTGATTTGTCGATGGGCTGCAATTCATGTGTGGTGTTGCTCGGGAGACAGAAAAGCTTGATGTCGAATTGTTCTGCTGCTTCAACTATCGAATAGTCTAAGTGGCACTTCGCTCCATCCAAGATAAGTAAACAAGGTCCTGGCAATTTAAATTTTGCAAAATGGTGTGTCCAGTTCACAAATGTTTCAGAATTCATACTCCCTTTGGGTGTCATTTGGGCTACTGAACCGGTGGGTAACGAATCTACCCATTCTGGCTTCATTCGTTTGCCCTTAAAGAGTATCATGGGCGGAATGACATGGCCTAAAGCGTTGCCACATGAAACTATTGTTACATTCTCGCCGTGTTCGGGTGCTACCAAATGTACTCTCTTGGATCCACGTTCAGCCAAAACTTCTGGTGATTTGTGCAAATTAAGCTGGCAACCTTTTTCGTCAATATTATAGATACGTTCCGGTTTGTTCATAAGGTCATTTTCTACTAAGATTTTCTTCAATTTACTAAAATAATCGGAAACTACTGCTTTATTCAGCTTTTGTGCCCTTGCGGGGTTTAGGTTCTGTGCTTTTCGTCTACTGATATTCCTATGACGTTTTAAAAATCCTCTCAGCCAATCTCGTCCCACCATCAAGCCTCCACTTGGCGCTGGAATGTTATTTTGATCACAGAATGTCTTCACGCATCTACGAAGTACACGCTGTGTTAATGGATATCCCACATTACACAGACGAATAATACGGGATTCCAAAATCTTTTCATCTTCAGGGTTAAGAAGTGGTTTCCGGCCCAAAGTAGATTTGGTCTCTTTGTTTTCTTGTAAATAACGTCTCAGAGTGAGTCTTGGCACATTATAAAGCTTGGAAGCCGTATAAATTTTCATTTTACCACTTCTGACTGCAGCTAAAGCTAATTTCATATTAGCATCTGCCCTGTTACTTCGAAGCCCTTTACATTTATAGCGTGCCATGGTCTAAAACAAAAAACAAAAAAACGTGTCAGCAATTCAGTAAATACTGTTAATATGGCCAAACGGTGGCCATATTTGCAGTCATCCAAATTTTTTGTTTTCATATTCACGAATGAAAAACACACTATTACTTTGATAAATATACAAAGAAATATGAAACTACAATTATTACACAACATCGTAATGTGAATAATAAAGATTTATAATGAAAACAACGTTAAAATACAGGACAATACTTACTTACTGTTTTTATAACCTCAACACTGCTTTTCACTATAATGACGGCTGAGCGGCTAACGCTTGCACGGATGGGTGACAGGTAGGCCGTTCGAATACATGCGACACTAGCGACAATTTAGGGTCGCGTTCAGCTCATAACAAACTTTCGTGTTTGGGAAAACGGTATGTGGCCATATTTACAGGCTGGCCATATTCGACCTAGGTACCTTACATAACAAACAAACATGTTTACCTTTAAATTCTGTAAATAAATATTGTTCTTCCCATTCCGAATGGACATGGTATGTCTTCGTCTTCTTACTACTGCTCATAATGATTTTGATTCCAGGCCAACCCTGACTAACCTCTGGACTTTGTGCCGTTCAGTTTTAAACTTAGCGCACTGTCTCCGCGCCTTGGGTATTTATTCCGTTCAAAGTAATCGCGATCGTTCTCGAACAGACCGCTCAACGCAGTGTTGCCGCTGCTTGTGTTTAATATGAGAATTTACAAAATTTATGGAAACTTCTATGTAGGTCTCTCGCGATCGATAGGTTGGCGACCACTGGGCTAAGAAGTATTTTTCTCCACGTTATTTCCTTTCTCTGTACAAGGCGCAGGTAAGACCTAGTCTCGAGTATTGCTCACATGTTTGGGGTGCTGGCGTCCCAACTACATTATCCATGCTCGATGCTGTTCAGAGGAGAGCGGTCCGACTGATCAATGACTCTTCTCTAATGGACAGATTGAGCTTTGTTCCTCAGAGCTCTCCTCCATGATGCCGCCTCTCGATGTGTCAGCCAGACAGACCCGCCTCACTTCGGCCTCCCATCCTGTGTCGAACTTCGTACATCCAGAACTGGTCAATACGGCAGCTTCTTTGTCCTTATGGTATCGACAAAAGTATGACAATTCATATGAGGAGCCTTTTCCCAGTTATACTAACCTTAGGCAGTTCAAAAATCGGATTAACAACGTTTCTTCACTACTCAAAATTCAGCAAGCATGTTAGTATTAATTTGTTTTAAAATTAATATCTCCCATTAATGTAATCTTCGCAAAGTATATGGGGCGGTAGACAACTCATGAATCTGTGCGTACCTATAACCCAGTCGAAGTACAAGAGCCGAATACATAGTTGCTTCTTGAGGAATGCTTATTGTGAGATCGGCTTACTTGCCATATCCTAATGGTACTATCAAAAGAACCGTTAAATATCAAAGATGACATTTTTACTGGCCTCAGACATTGGCGCATGCAGGAATCTTTTTCGGAGGAGGCGGCGATTAAACTTTGGTGAGAGGAAGCTTTTTGTGTATTGTGATTATGTAGTAGCCACAAGGCTACATTTGGATCTTTATGTATTAGATCGCGACGCCTTCTAAAGGTAGAAGAACCAAAGTGGGTAACACCAGCTTGGCTATGATGTAAAAAACCTATAAATGTAAAAAAAAACAACGAAATGTCATTTTGCAGACTAGGTAGTTTTTAAGGTGCAAATAGTTCATTCCATGTTCGCTCGCTATGACCGCTGTGAGCGTCCATCTGTAGAGGAATGACTTAACTACACGCATTATTGGTTGCAGAAAGCGAGTATATGTTTTGTGAATCCGACCAGTCTGTAGTGTTTATTCCTGCGAATATATGAAAGAAAGAAAGTTGGTTGAGTAGCAAGCTCGCATCTGGATGAGAATGGAGAATGAACAAGAATAAGTGGATGCGCCACTAATTTCTAGCTTTAAATCTCAAGTAAGTGTATTTAAGAGAAGAAACAATGGAATCATCATCAACACATTTTATTATATGTGTTGATGATAATTCACAAATCGTCACTATGCATCTATGCTCTGCCGTTTCCTTCCAGCTATGGTGTACAGCTTACAGCTTAGACCTCCAGTAATCCATCTCTGAAGCAGATTTTACATCATATCGGAGCCAAACGTTGATAACTGAAGCATCATGACGTTTAGGCAGCTCGTACAACTACAAAACGAGTTCACAATAAGTTTCTATCAGCTAGTGCTAAGTTAACATCTTGTAGGCAAACCTACGTTATGTCAAAAAGAAAACGACCCAATGTGCCGACCCTTGAGAAAATAATGAAACGGCTATGCAAGTTAACACAGAGACTTAAATCGAAAAGGGTTACGTCCTCGCTTAAGGAGGAGGTCTGACAACTCTTCTGTAATTCGCATGTTTTAAAACTTTCGAGTTAAATGAGGAAATGTTATGAGCCTAATATAACTGTTCTAACAGCCTTGTAATTTTGATGTTGGTTGCGTGGCTGTTGGCATATTTGTCAAGCGGTGTTTCCGTTGGCTGCACTAAAGGAAGATTTCTAATTAGATTTATACGGTGTATATTCCCGTATTAAATCGTTCGTTATGAAGTTATAATTCCTGTCGTTTCACCTCCGCCTAGTTCCCAGTTTCGCCGCTTCATGCGTTTGTTTAATCTGTAACTGATGTCTTCTTGTTTGTCATAATTATTTCCAAGCTGAAATTCCCCAACTGGGTGAACGTGTTTTAATTGTGCTGGGATTCATCAATTATTTGAGTTCCTTAATCAAATAATAGTACATGTGCGGTTTTACAGCGAGCAAACTCATGACAAACTATTCAGCGAAGTTTCCGTGTATTAATCATATGGAAGGCAAAAGCTCCTCAAAATGAATTTTCGTATTGATAAGACATTTAGACTATCAGACGAGAAATATTAAGTCTTAATCTTCAGCTACTGTGCCACAGTGGCATGAAGCATGAGAAAAGCTTAAATACAATACAAAATTATTTTTAAAGCGATGCATATCGACAAACAGAAGTTTCGAATTCCATTTTATCTAATTAAACCGTTACAATCGTTAAATTTATACCAACGGGAGCGGCTAAAAAGTTTTAAGCGGTAACGAGAAACCACTTGCCGTTAAAGTTTTTTTGCCGAAACTTTAAACGCAAAGAATCCGCCGGCTTGATAGGATTGGATTATTTTAGTTGAACTTTACAATTAGCCTCACGTTAATAGCCATGCCTCTCTGCCTCTTTCTTGTATTTGCAATTGAGTTCGTTCGTTCGGCTTAATCCAACCACTTAATTGGCTCTGCCATTAGGGATTATCCTAAGAAGAATCGTGCCTTATATTACAAACTATTAAGTCGCTATAATATGCTCTATTTTTTTAATAGAGAGCTTTGGATTGGTCTCCGGTTCTCAAATCGATTGATACAGCAATTGAGGATAGACTTGAAAAAAGCCCAGCAGAACATCGCTTTCACCGTTGTTTAGGTTTTCCTGTTCCGGTGTCTGATCGCACGATAAAACAAAAGATCCAACAAAGAATTCATACATCTTTAACGTTGGCCAAATCGAAATTCGGAAACATAGACGTGAATCCCCTTTTAAATAATTCTCTCATCTGACAGCGGCAATTGATTTCGCTTTCCTCCAAAATAAATCTTACGCGTTCTGTTTGTGCCCAATCGTTCAAATTGTCTCGCAGCCTTTTTCTTCAATTCTACCGTCTCATAAATAATAAAATGGATGTGTCGTAAAACGTGGATAATTCTAGGCGTAGCCTTCACGACGAATTTGCCACGAATCAAATTTTTAACTTCATCACAGTTACCGAAAATTATTGATATGAGCATCAACACCGTTGTAGCAAGGCTTACTTCAGATCCTAGGTATGTAATTTACTACTTTCCATCATCTTGTCTCGCAACAATTCATCTATCATTGCCTAATGATCCTGCTGAACTATTTCGTTAGGTTCTCAGCTAGAATTTTCGGAAAAGCACACCAAAACTATTTTCGGCACTCTACTACGAACTCCGCTATTAATTATTCAACCATATTCAACGAACGAGCAACCCATCTAATTTTTGCCAGTTGGTCCCTTGTCAGTAGATGCATTATTTAGGATTGTAATTTGTCCGACTATACCGCCTCCTCAAAACCGCAGTTTGAGCCGTCCCGACTGCCGATGATTGCAGCAGTTTAGGCTCTACATCTCGTTAGTTTCTGCCCCAAATCGTACAGTTAAAATCGATTCATCAAATCAGAAATAAAAAAAATTAAGAAGCTATGCCGAATTTTAAAACTCCACAATAATTTGATTCTCTATAGTTTAGGAACTGTAGTTTTAGTCACCGTTCTTTGCGGTTACGTCTGCGTACCATGGGCGGATCTTAATTTTCCTAACTGAGGGAAACCGATTCAAACTTATTTACTAATCGTAATTCTCAAAAATATTCTAATCTAGTGCATAAACATGGGTAGAGTATGATGTTTTTTAAAGTTGAAATAAAAAATACATACGGAATTTACAATATAATACAAAATAACACATCTATTTGCTAACTTGATGGAACATTTAACAGTGGATGTGGATACGTGACAAGGTTATGAGAGCTTTAGAAGAACCATAATCAATAATTTTTATTCTTCCTGGAGTGAAATACGAATAAATTATTGCTAGAAAAAAAAAATATATTTTGCTGATGATGCTCTTACACTCGGGCTTTTAAATCTATGTCGCCTTAATAAACATCAAGCTTGTCACTTCCATATCTATCAAAATATTTAACAATCTACATTAAGAGCTCTGCCTCATTGGGACGCCATGGCGACGTCGCCGGCGACGCAGGCCTGGCTACTTGTGGCATCCGAGGGTCGCCAAGGCGAGTAGCCATGGCATCTCGACAGTCAGTTCGTGTCATCTCTCAAGAATGGACGCAGAAGAAATTGCACTTCTTTGTTATATACGTCGCAGAAAAAAAAAACAAAAAAAGCAGATCAGTAAAAAAAAAAACAATCTTATAAACAAAATTGAGAAAAAAAAATAAATAAAAAGTATTGGTTAAAAAAAAAAAAGAAATGTGTTTGCATCTAGTATAATAGAAATAATATACAATAGAAATATTAAGTAATGGATGTTCTATTTTCTATTAAAGCATAGCATTATACATAAGGATCTGGCCAGTTGGTCATCGACCAGTGCCAATAACAGAACAAAAAAAAAAAAAAATGAAAAAAGAAAAGAAAAAAAAGAAACTATGGGTTCATCCTTTTATATCTGATCGAAACCGAAGTGGCATTTTTTTAAACTGTATGGTGATTTACGAAAATATCCTGAAAAGTTTTTCAATTACACAAGAATGTCAATAGCATCTTTTGACGAATTATTAAACTTATGTAGAAACGATTTAACTAAACAGGATACGATATTTAGAAAATCGATTAGTGCGGAAGAAAAACTATTTGTGTCATTGAGGTAAGCAGTGTTTTATTCAAATTTTCAAGAATGAAACATCTAAAGTTAATCATATACATCTAAAATGGAGGAATCTTCTGAAACATTTGTCATATTTGACGGTGGTGCACTAAACGGTTCACTAGATAAATACTCAGTGCTGTTTATCATGGGTTGGGTTTCTCTAGGAACAGTAGAATATCCAGGGTGATAACTTTGTGACGACGACGATTCTGTTTGTGACCAGTAGTTTTGACGGTATAATGTACTACTATCAATGTTGAGCACAGGGCGGGTTGCTTCATCAAGAATTGACATTATTTTCATTTTAGTTGCCATTTTTTTTTGAGGAGGCACGTTTTTTAAGGTGCTAACTAAAGACAGTATGAATAACCTGTCGTCATCTTGATTCTCAACCTCATATTGTTCTCTACTACTAAGTTACGGTCGCAATAATCATTTGATGAACTATCCCATAAGCAAGGCCGGTTTTGAATTTCTATTATAAATTTTTCAGTATCGAAACTAATTTTTCACATCAACTATCAACTACTATTCCGAGCGAGCGTCCAAAGTGGCGGCTGACTGGCGACTGAGTGAGCGAGGTACAGCTAACATGTGTACAATATGATGGCAACGACGCCACGGCGCCAGAGTAGCCAGTCGCCACGTAGGGAGCTGTAGTTTGTGGCCACGCTTCCATCTTGGCGACGTCGCCACACCGTCGCCAAGTGAGGGAGGTACCATACATTCCAATATGAACTGTTTGGATACGTAACCGGCGACGTCGCCATGGCGTCCCAATGAGGCAGAGCTCTAAGGGGCACACATAGCAAAATTAAGAATTATAAATTTTTAAAATTGTTTCAATAGAAGTATGAATTATTGGATTTTTTCATCAGAGTCATCTGAACTTTCTTCCAAATGAATGATTATATTCGTCTCCTCCCTATTAAACACTTGATGCTTGATCCAGTTATTTTTTAAACAGGTTTCACACACTTGTCAAAAACTGTAGGAAACTCCTTCGCTAGAGCATCGTCCCAAACTTTCAAAATTCCTTGTCACCATAGCCATTTTCCTCAATATGGAGATCAGAGTACTGTTTGGCTATTTCCCAGACTAACTCAATAAGGTTGTATTGACAATTGTAAGGAGGAGCGGCAAGACTGTCCATGCTCATGTAATATTTCGTCTATATCTTGGAGACGATGGTTTATTAAGGCGACTTAGATTTAAAAGCTCGAGTTTAAAAACGTCATCATCAAAATGTATCTTTCTGTCTTGCAGTCATTGTTTTAATTGCATTTTACTCCAACTGGAACTGGGCATTTTTTGTCAAGGAACTATGATGAGAGGCATTATCCATTGATTACTAAAGATGGCTCTTGTAACGATGGTATCAGCTTGTCACATACCCATTTTTTAAAAAAATATTTATCCATGGAATCGTGGTAGTCAGCACTTTTTGATTTTGTAGCAAATAACAATGCAGTATCTCTCAAAAACCGTTTTTGGTCCCAGCATGAAGAACAACATACCGCTTGCTTTACGTTTGTATCTTGCCAAACTCGTTTAAACGAACCTTTAGCAAATATACACGTTTCATCTAACAAAACGCATTGGAGAGGGCTTGTACTATTCAGATTATTCATATTATGTCTCATAAAATATATACGTTTGGAAAGAATGTCTGATTTTTCACACAAGAGTTGGCGGTTATCTTGTGTCTTGTAAGAGAAATCCAAAAGCTTAAACTTGAATCCGAGGCGTTGTATGACAGCATCACTTACATTATCATTGTATTAATTGATTTTGTGAGTTTTCCTTGTGTTACTATGGGCAAACCTTTCTTATTTTCAGATTTTATTCGCTGAATACTGCGCAGACTTATCTTCACTGCATCTGCTACTCTCTCCAGTACGCATGAAGTGGGTAACAGTGGAACACTTTTTTTATCGTCTTCCTGGAAATACTGTATATAAATAATAAGAATAAATTTAGCACGAGCTGTCGACCTTCTCCATTGATCGTATTTCCGGGCATTGTACAATTTTATATTGAATACTGAAAACAGCACAACTGAAATTGCACACCGATGTCAAATAAGTTGTCACTCTGACAAACATGATTGAAGGTAACTCATACGTAACGACAAAGTTTTCGAGAAGCAGACACACAACTAAAAAACCTATGACTTTGAGCTTACCGAACAAACGTTCATACACAGGGGTAGGTGGAATGTGTATGTATGCGGGAGACGGAGATATATAAACGGATACTGGTAGTCTTATCTTGACCCACCAAGAACGGTCACTACAACTATACATTGATAGTAATTTGGCTTTTGGGTCGTGTGACTTTTTTCAATAGTTAAAATGGCCGTAGGACTCCATTTTCTAGCCCAGCGATTCCCAAGGTCAGTGCGGCGGCTCCCCGGGACATCGCGGTGCCGTCGTAATGGACCAGCGAAATATTCAAATAAACAATAATCGGCAATTTTCTAGGAGTTTCGAATCCTCGACTTTTTTGAATTGATGTATTAAGAGCGCCACTGACAGATCAAGACCACATTTATGTTTACATTTCAGTTTGTGATACGACGATTTGCACAACACTGCGGTCTTCTTCAAGTACAATAACCTGAAATCTGAACATAATGTGGTCTTAATTTGCCCAGACATTGAAGTCATATCAACATATCACAGGATAAGTTTCAGAACTTACGTTAAAATACCTATTGATTCGGGTTTAGTGAGGATAATCCCCCCCAGCTTTGTCAGGTTTAATGTGAAAATAAAAGGACTAAAAAAGACGTCAAGTAGGTCGACTCTGCACTTCCCAGGCAACGTTGTCATCAGTTCATAAAGCTTAAGTTCAGTACAAGTTAAACCTTCTAAGAGAACATTAGTTACGAACATGTACAATAAAGAAGTTACATGGATCAAGTCTACCCTACCAGTAGTTACCATCTACCTGGCAACGTTGCTCCTTCCCATACCGTCAGCGCCCACCGAAGTACCACCGCAGCAGAACAATTTCTCTATCATTCTTAGTTTTAAAGACAAATGTACGGGGGAACCTATTATGTACGAAACATGGCTAGTAGGTGCGTACAATTGCACACTCCCTAATTTTTTACTTCTAAAAATGTTTTCAAAAATAACCAGGATCCTCTAAAAAGTCAAAAAACGGCGTTTGTGCGACATCTATTTTTGTCGGTTATGACCTTTTACTCCTCCGCCACTACACTGATTTACAAAAACTGCAAGGTTCTTTCGACCTTGGCATAGTAGTGACCTTGTGTAAAAATTTTATATATATTTTATATATAAGTCCCTCCAATGATCAAGAAACTTAAATTGCCGTGAAGGGGGCTTAAAATCAACCATTTTTAGTTTAAGTAATTGTATTAATAGTATATCTAAGAAAGCGTATTATTTTGCTTTGTTGGAAAACAAAGATTCTACCCCCATATTCGAGATTTACTGAAGCTTTGTTCATTTGCTCCAGGTAGTCATTGAAATATGTGAGGCTTGTGATATAAAGACATTAGCATCGCCCTCTGTTGCACGATAGCTGAATTAAAATTACTTTTTGTAGGCAAGTTTTTGCGGCCATGTTAGCAGCTAGTTTGGATTTTAAAAGAAAACAATGTACCTCAAATTCTCCAAACGACTATTCCTTTTGAGGTATTTGCAAAGACAAACTTACAAGGGCTAGTTGTCAGTTAACAAACACTTAGGCAGCAAATTTCACCAGACTATTTCCATCGGCGCCATCGACTACTCGGTGCACGTACCTGAACATCAGATTCTTAATTATAATCTTTATTCATATTTAAATCATACGATAAACTGTGAACGTAACTTAGCAGACCGACTTATCTATTAAGTGGCACTGAACAGTCACAATTCGGATCATCCACAAAAAAATGCACAAGTGACATACACTCACAACATGTGATAACAATCGTGACGTCAACCCTCCAACCAGTCTGATCAATACATAAACAGAGTAGGCTGTAGTGTTAACGATACAAACATGATTAAATTCATAACAGGAATTTACCGATCCGTCTTATTTTTGTAGTCGTTAAGGCATCCTTAATCCAAGTAAGGGGCCAGGAATTACTAGACAAACCGACAGACATACTAACGGAAATTACTGACATGGATGTATAGGTCATATAACATCCAAAAACTCTCATTTTCGAAATTTTTCGTGATTGCAATGCCTCCTCGTCCTGTAGCAGTAAAACAAATGTGTCACCTGGAAGACAGACGAATGAGACTGATTTTTGAAAATTTTTCTACTCAAATATAATTACAATTTTATATTGTCAACCTCCAAATAACTTTCTTATAGCAGTGCTGGAACTCTGGTACTGGAATAGCCTTCAGCTGGACGATTTGAGTTCCCGTGAAGTGATTTTCCAACTCGGGAAAAGAAAGAAGTCACAAGGACTCAAGTCAGGCAAATAAGGAGGCTGAGGAACCACATGAATGTCCTTACTGGCCAAAACATCGTTTATTGACATTGCTGTGTGACAGGGAGCAACACCCAGTTGTTCTTGATCTGATGAACGTTGGTGTGAGACAAATTTAACTCTCTACAGCACGGGTGTTACGTATATTGAAAAGTGACTCTATGTCGATTTTTTTGACATTGTATTGTTTTTTTTTGTGAAATCATGTAGGTTTTTCTACAAGATGTTAACTTAACACTAGCTGATCGACACTTGTTGTGAACTCCTTTTGTTGTACGTGTCGCCTAAACGTGATGCTTTAGTTATCAATGTTTGGCTCTGATGTGATGTAAAATCTGCTTCAGAGATGGCATTACTGGAGGTCTAAGCTGTAAGTTGTATACTACAGCTAGAAAGAAACGTCAATGCATAGGTGCATCGTGAGCATTTGTGTGCTAATAATATGTGTTGATGATAATTGCATTGGATTCTTCTTCTTCTCAAATACACTTACTTGAGATTGAAAACTAAAAATTAGTTGCGAATCCACTTTTTCTTATTCATTCTGAAAATTACATATGCAAATTTGCTGGATTTCAAAACAGAGAGAGATGAGAAAAAAAATCCCTGGTTGGTAAAGGAACAGGTGAGAAAATATGCTACAGACAGGAATATTTATGAAAGTTGTTTGTTTATTTACAGTCATTTAAATTTTATAGAAATTTATTTTGCGATGTCAATAGAAAATACAAATCAGCGCCTTGATGTGCGGCATTGCGAAAATGTTTGATGTGTGATGCGTCATTACTAATTATTCTGTGATGTAGCTTGATTTCACACAACGCGGGCGCGGAGGCGATTTCTCGTAGTACACGGGAAAATCGTAATTTATAACTTTGAACATAACCTCTCTTCAGAAAGGACAACATACAAATAGGCCGTCGGGCACAGCTAATAGATATAGTTTATATCACTGATTTTATACACATGCAGACCAATACACATAATCATCCAGATGCGATCTTGCTATTCAACCAACTTGTTAGAGATGAAAACTACGGACTACTCGGCTTCACAAAACATATGCAACCAACAATGCGGGTAGTTGAGTCACTCGTCCATTAATGGACGCTCACAACGATTCTAATGAACAAACGTGGAGTGGCTGTTTGCACTCTAAAAACTACCTAGTATGCAAGATGATTTTACAGTTTTTTTTTAACGTTTTATAGGTTTTTTACATAATGCCCGATCATTTTGACTGTCAACTGACGATCTGAACG